CAAGTAATGCAGCAGCAAAAGTAATGCAGAATGCCAGAGATGCAAATGTGTGGAGTGGCGAACCGGCGAAGGTTGACTTATAAATTACCAAACGCATAAAAATAGGAATCCAACTAATATCTAAAATTATAACACCACTCCTTTGGTAGATTGATTAAAAAACAAGAAAGGAAGCTAGCTTCGGCCAGTTGAAGCTTATATACCCTTGCAGATAAAGCAAACACCTATAGTTTAATGCTCACTCAGTGCGGTTCCAGGGATAATTTTGTTTTTAAGTTGTCAAAAATCAAAACTCCTACTTCCTACAAAGTTACAATTAATTATACCCGTTACTCGTAGAGTAAAAGGGTATATTGTATTCGTGCAAAAGTACGTAACAGCTAGAAGGAAGCGTTTCCGACCCCATAAAGTATATATATTCTTGATCAGGATCACTAGCCGAGTCGATCTAGCCATGTCCGTCTGTCCGTCTGTCTGTCCGTCTGTCTGTCTGTCTGTCCGTATGAACGCTGAGATCTCGGAAACTATAAAAGCTAGAAGATTGGCATTTTGCATGAATATTCTAGGAGCTCCTACGCAGCGCAAGTTTGTTTCAAAAAGGTGCCACGTTCCCTCTAACGCCCACAAGCCCCCTTTAACGCCCACAGTTTTGAAGCTATTATGAAAATAGTAACTGATATGTATTCGCTTCGTCAATACCTATCGATTGGCCAAGTAAAAAATTGCCACGCCCACTCTAACGCCCACAAACCCAATAAACGCTTAAACCTGGCCAGCGCCTACATTTCCGCCTTTCATGACCAGTAGTACCAATATCTGGCGGTAGATGGCGCAATACAATATACACTAGCGCCATCTAGGAAATGGCATTGGAAAAAATCTGCGTTTTTTTCTGTGGTCACTCTAATTCACATTATGTTAATGCAAATTTTAAATTATTTGAAATGGGGCGCGCATTTTGTCTCTTTTTGCTCGTATACGTTTTTCACAAGTGCATTTACCTGCGCTAGAGAGAGACAGAAGATGTGCTAGGCAGAATTGAAAGTTCTAGAAAGCCTCTTCTAGAAAGAAATCCCTGGGTAAAAATCGAGCGGCGAAAAACATATAAGAAGGCATATTTCTATTAAGTTGTTTAGCTAAGTAACGGGTATCTAATAGTCGAGGCACTCGACTATAGCGTTCTCTCTTGTTTTTAAATCGATTGTTTGATAAACGTTGATGTGGGAGCCTCCGAAAGTTGCACTTTTTAACGGTTCATAAATCTTAAATGACATAATATTTTTTACTGATGTTAATTATACCCGTTACTCGTAGAGTAAAAGGGTATATTAGATTCGTGCAAAAGTATGTAACAGGTAGAAGGAAGCGTTTCCGACCCTATAAACTATATATATTCTTGATCAGGATCACTAGCCGAGTCGATCTAGCCATGTCCGTCTGTCCGTCTGTCCGTCTGTCTGTCCGTCTGTCCGTCTGTCTGTCTGTATGAACGCTGAGATCTCGGAAACTATAAAAGCTAGAAGATTGACATTTTGCATGCAGATTCTAGGAGTTCCTACGCAGCGCAAGTTTGTTTCAAAAGGGTGCCACGCCCCCTCTAACGCCCACAATCGCTTGTATACGATTTTTAAAATTTCAATATTTCGAAAAAGTAAAAATGCAGTTTTATTATGTTTATGAATACCTATCGAAATGTAGAAAAAATTTTTTAAATCGGACCATTCGTTAAAAAGTTACGGCGGATCAAAGTTTTTATCTCCTTCGCACTCCCTTAAGCTGAGTAACGGGTATCTGATAGTCGGGGCACCCGACTATAGCGTTCTCTCTTGTTTTCTTATATATTTGTTTGAATATTCCTATGGGAGCCTTAAGATATGGTGGTCCGATCCGGCTCGCTCCGACATATGTACTACCTGCAATAGAAAGAAGACTTTCGGGAAAGTTTCATCGCGATAGCTTTTAAACTGAGAGACTAGTTCGCATAAAAACGGACAGACGGACAAACGGACAATGGACAAACGGACAAACGGAAAATGGACAAACGGACAAACGGACAGACGGACAGACAGAGAGACGGACATGGCTAAATAGACTCGGCTATTGGTGCTGATCAAAAATATATATACTTTATGTGGTCGGAAACGTCTCCTTCACTGCGTTGCAAACATCTGACTGAAATTATAATACCCTCTGCAAGGGTATAAATATATTGCTGCTCATTCTATTAAATTACAAATCCCAAATCGCTAAATTTTGTATTATGGCAGCTTTATAATAAGTCGTTTGATTAATGTTAAATTTAATTTAAAATTTTGAAATATTAAAAAAGACCTATATCCCTGAGTAGAAGGAAAAACCATAAAAACCAACGAGGTAATTATTTGTGTCCTATTAATTTTCCATCATTTCCTATAGTCCACCGATTTTGATAAAACAAAATTCCGACCTAAATACTACCTCCAATAGAAAGAAGACTTTTGAAAAAGTTTCGTAGAAATGACCAACGGACTGAAGGACAGACGGACATAGCTAGATCGTCTAGTGATAATGATCAAGAATATAAATACTTTATAGGGTCGAAAGCGTATCCTCACTGCGTTGCAAACTTCAGAAATACAAACTTCTTAAAAATTAATGTATCGAATCACATGTTCGAACCCATATTTCGATTTTCCCATTTCACTTCACCATACCACAAACAAAATCCCAATACAATCTCTTTATAAACAGCAGATTTCTTTCTTTTGCCTTTCGCTTCCCACATCATATCAAATACCCCACTTCACTAATCCCATTATTTCACACCCTTCTAGTCCGATTCGAACTAAAATTCAACTCTGTCCGTCTCCATTTCCATTTCATGTTACATGAACATATTTCTGGGTTTCTCATCACACATCCCTCGGTGAGACAGGCGTTGAAAATCTGCCCAATTCGTTTGCTTTGATTACGAGCTTGTTGCAGAACCGAAACCAGAACAGAAACCAGCACCATAACCAGAAACACCTTCAAAGCCACAAGCCCCAACTACTGAGCTGGTCAACATTTAGCTAACTATTTTTTCACACTCCCGAGCCCCAAATCGCCCTGCGCACCACTGCCCAACTCCATTTCTCGCCATGTTGCTCCTTTTTTCCCAGTCACTTTTAAATTAAGCAATTTGAAATGTTGACCAGGGAATCTTTCCTTTCCTTTACTTCCATTCCAGACCGCAAAATGTTGGCCCACAACTTGTGTAGAGTGTCACGGGTTGTAATCGCTCGTTGTAGGTGGCTGTAACTTGGTCAGGAACAGGACCAGGACCGGCGGAGGACCAGTTGCAATAGCAGTAAAGATAGCGCCACCGACATACGGAAGAACCACGAGGGGGGAGACGAACCGTGTCGAAGGATGAGTCGATGGCCAACTAACTACAATTTTTTGATTGCCCGTGTTTTGTAAGCGCGCTGGCCATTTGCTTTACTACCTCAACAACGTCCATTGCCCACCCTCTGAATATCGCCCTTCTAAAGGCGAGCTTTGGTCAGCTCAGCACTGGCCCAGCCATTTTAATTTCACTTTACGGTTTCCAAACACGAAATCCTTTTTGCCACTAGGTGTGCAGCCAGGACTCGTTTTTTATCGTCCTGCACGGCTCCCCCCGTAGGAGTGTTTGCTTGGGTCCCCTGTTTGTGGGGTATTAAAAAGTGAAATGGTGGAATCCGAAACCCCAAACCGACAGAGAAGGATGCCAGTCATATGTGTGTACAGAAAGCGAGGGGGATTGTGGGAGATTCCAAATTTGAACTGGCACTGAAAAGCATGGCAGAGATTCACCCAGATTGGTCTCGCCCCGAGTTTTGGCTAGGGTCGATTAGGTACCTTACGCTGCCTTACGGCTTGGGTTACGCCATGATGATCTAAGCATACCTAATCTGGCTGAGCTTGCACCTGCTGGGGCCCAGGAATATATTTTACTTCTTCTAAATACTTACCAAATTATTTAATCGGTTAAGACGCTCTTCCTTAACAAATACCCCATTTATGTTTATAGCAAATTAAATAGGCAATCACAAACAGTCAACCGGAACGGCAAAAGTCCCATACGAAAGACTCGCCGGCGGCACGAGGATGGAAAATAAAATAAATAAACTCCAAAGGCAATCTCAATTGAAAGCGACAATATTGTTTTTAATGATTTTCATGGCCCAGGCACAGAGCCGGAATCTTTGCGGGGCAGGAAAATCTTTTTATTTGGCTTTTTGGCTGCCGAAGGGAGCGGAGCCGGCAAAAAACGAGAAAAACAAGCGGAGAGAAAGGAAAATAACACAAAGCATACGCGTGGGTGGCCGCAGCCACAGAGCAACAAAGGCCATGAAAAATCAACAAGAAAGAGGGAAATACAAGGTTGGGAAGTGGCCCCAAAATATATCCCCCGATTGCGTGGCATGGAAATCTTTTCAGCAAACGTATGCTAAAGATAACAATGCAATTTAGCCACTTAGTGCATTAGCTTATTAGACTTTATCCCCGAGACTGTAGCCCATACTGAATGAGCTGCCATCACATTTCCGCAACCGATTTACATTCGACTATTCGCTGAATCAGCGCGGAATCATCATCATCATCAGCAGCCAGTGACCACACTAAAGTTTACGGGGTAAACAAGAAGTCAAAGACTGGTGATTGAGCAGTTCAAAGTTTCTTAGCCAAAGTTGCGCTTAAGAAATCAAAGTAACTTTCCTCACTATTGCAAACTCTCTTCCCCCAACTTTGGGTATCTGTATACGTGTACTTTTTTCATCAACTGCTGTATAGTTATTGGAAACTTTTTCCGAAACGTAGAACTTGCCAGCTTAACAACAACTGACCAACAGCCTGGGACGAGGTTCACTGCATTCCAGGTGGTCGAAACTAAAGTGAGTTTGGTATATTAACATTTCGGGGTTACTTAGCCTTATTCATTCGGAGCGCTAGGAATAAGCAGTTCCCTAGATATAATAAATGATCAAGTAATAAAATTATCATGAAAAGCATACATATATTTTGATTTGATCTTCAATCTCTGAAGAATAGGTAAATAATTTAGGAGAATGGAATATAGAATTATTAGCTGATATAATTCCTAGGGAATTCGATGGTTCCCGTAGCTCTTTTGTCTCCTCAGCCCTTTGTCCAAGGCATGCGTGTTGTTTACACCCTCCAGGAGCAACATCCTCACCAGAAAAATCGGCAACAACTGCAGAACAAAACAGAACCGAACGGGACGGAAAGTGTTGATAAGTTGGGCTGAGCCAGTGGAGCGGTCAAGGTAAAGAGTTGGCCAGCTGGTGCCCTGCACTTGTTTAATTAAAAAACTTTCCTTGATTTTATTAGCCCTCCGCCTTAGGACTAGGAGCTAAGCTTCGTGGTCCTTTTGGAGCGAGGCTCCCTGACCGGCTTGAGGGCGGTGTAGGGCCCGATGAGCTGCTTGCTCCGCTTGACCGTGTACTCCAGCGTCTCCTCGCTCTGGTGCCACTCGTCCGAGGCAAAGAAGACGAAGCCCGCCCGCTCCGCCTTGCGATAGGCCAGCAAGGGACCCCGGGAGCCAAAGTCGTAGTGCAGCGGACGGGGTCTATCCGTGTCGATTGAGTTGAGGATCGGGGAGAATATCCGCCAGATCTCGCACTGCTCGTCGGTGCGCATGAAGAGCGTCTGGTCGCCGTGGAAGACGTTGAGCAGGAACCCGGGCAGGCCTTGGATGCCCTTCGGTCCCCGATCGTCCACCCGCAGGTTAATCTCGCTCTCGCGCAAGCAGAGATCTTCGCCCTGCCGCTTCAGCCGCATCCGCATGAAGACCTCTTCCGTGGGGAAGGATCGCAGGACCAACTCGTTCCTCACGTCCGCACTGTCGCTGTGGAACGAGTCGCAGTCCACCGGCTTGTACTGGATGCGCACCTCCGTCTTGCTGTCGTTCAGGGCCTTTCCGGCCCGCAGGATGAAGGGCACCCCGGACCAGCGGCGGCTGTTGATGTGCAGCACCACCAGGGCGAAGGTGGGAGTGAAGGAGTCCTTGGGGATGTAGCTGTGCTCCGTGTATCCGCACTTTGCCGGGTCCGCCTCCCGCCGGTTGTTGCGATACTGGGCCAGTATCACGTCGCCCATGTTTGGGGTAAGCACCTGGCGAAGGACCTTCAGCCGCTCGACCCTCAGGTCGTCGGCGGTGTTCGCATACGGCTGGTCCATGGCCAGCATGGCCAGCATCTGGATCATGTAGTTGGTCATCAAGTCGCGAATGATGCCGGAGTGGTTGAAGTAGTCCGCCCGACTCGCTTGCACCGGGAGAGCGCACTTCACTGATATCATCACCGCCGCCACGTGGCGGTTGTTCAGGGTCTCGCCCCACAGGTGGTTCGAGTAGCGCAGTGCGAAGAAGTTCTGCATCACCTGGCGACTGAGGAGATGGTCCATCAGGTAGATCTGCGACTCCCGGAAGCTGTTGCACAACGACGTCTGGAACACCCGGTAGGAGACGTCGTCACGGGCAAACGGCTTCTCCACCACGATCCTGGTCCAGCCCGTGGAGGAGCTGCACTTACGGCTGGCATTGAGGGTCACCTGGTCGAAGACGACTGGCGGCAGGGCCAAGTAGAAGATCCGGTTCGCATGCACCTGGTTGTGCTTCGTCTCCTGGCGTATCATCGCCTCCGCGAGGGCCACATAGTGCTCCGGCTTGTCGTACTCGCCCTGCACACAGAACACGTTCGTCCAGAAGAGGTTGTACTTCTTCGGGTCCCGATTCTTGTCTAGCTCCATGAAGGGCAGCACCTGCAACCGGTAGGCCTTCGTCTGCAGCGGGGTCCTGCAGAAAGTGAATATCTTGGTGCCCTGCGGCAGTCGATTTTCCCGGTACAGTGCCCAAAGCGCTGGAAATACCTTCTGCTTGGCCAAACCCCCTGAGGCTCCGAAGACCACGACAGAATAAGCCATCTCATTGTGGGGATCAATGGGAATCATTTTGGAGAATGCAATTAAAACTTAATTTTTGAGTTAGAAATGAAGAAGCAGCAGTTCGAAACAAGGCCAAAATATGTAGTCCAAATTGTAATAAGATCAATGAGAGTTCGTGCAAAGATAAATAGACTGCTAACAAAAAAAGGACAAGTGAGAACTCTTTAGTCGAGTATCTTGACCATCAGATATCCGTTACTCAACTAAAGGGAGTGCGAGGAAGATGGAGATATGTCTGCGGCAAAGCAACTACTACTGCAACTGCCAAATGTCTAGACTTTGTAGATTAAAAGATCTCTGCGTTCATTAGGACAGACACACGTTGGACAGACGGATCCTGAGCCTGACCAAGAATAGAAATACACTTTATCAGGTCGGAAACACTTTTTTTACCTGTTCCATAATAATTTGATAATAATCAAAAGGGAATATCTGACGATGTCATCTATAAAAGAAAACTTATTAAATTTTTTTTTTGGATTTATCTAATTTATGCATCAAATATTGCGTTACATAAAAATTTTAATTAACATACCATTAAACAAGTTTACAAATAAACAAGAGAGAGGTGGGTGCCCCGACTATCAAATACCCTTTACTCAATTAAAGGAAGTGCGAGGGAGATGGAGATATAAAACTTTGATCAGGTATAACTTTTTAACGAATGGTCCGAATTGAAAAATTGCATTTCTACTTTTCCCAAATCTTTAAAGGTGTGGGCGCCAGACACCTTTTAAAATCGTTTAAGTCGATTGTGAAACAAAATTTGTATTTTCCGGCAGCCAAATAAAATGTTTTTGAGCGAAATGTAGCCAGGACACTAATCTGGCAAAGGGATTTGAGCTCGACAGGCTGCTGAAGGGCAAAAGTCTGGCATGGCAGACAAACTGTTTGGAGCAAGGATTGGCTTGCAGTAAGCCTCAAGTTCCCCATAAACACGTAAGAGATTTTCTGCAGCCTCCGGCTGCCCTGCAATTCAAATGCAATCAATTCAAATTCCCTAAGCCACCGTTTAAGTGCAAGCGGGGGATCCAAAGGAGAAGGATAGCAGTGGCATTTCTTTTTCTCTGCGTTCCATACATGTTGTGAGTGCAGCTAATATGTAGGGGCTCCTATTGCGATTCCAATCCTCCGTCATCACAGTCAGAGAATTCGAGACGACAGGACCTTTGATGCTCCAATGGCAGGGATTATTCAATTTTCTCGTGAGAGTCTGTGAGTCTGGCTTCCAAACTGGAGAACCCTTATTTTGACTATCAAAGAAAAAGTCCTGATTGGAATGTGCCCTTTCCCTTCTCGTTTATTTATTCATACATGATCATTAAAGGTAAAAGATTCTACGCTGGAGCTGCAGTTGCTGCCGCTACAGCTGCCGTGGTGGCTCCTGCTGCCATAGTTGGCTTCTTTTTTGGTTTATTTACCTTCGCTTTAAAGCATTTCTTAAGCTTCGGGCTCCACCTAAGAGGGGCCTTACACTTCTTTGCTTTGGCTTTGGCTTTTGCTTCCACGGCGAAGCAGCACATCACAAGCACCAGCGTGATGATGCAGAAGCCTGCCAGGGAGATCTTCATCGCTCAGCGTATACAGGTGGTCTAAGAGAGCATTCACGTTGGATGTATGCACCATATAACTCGGTGGAGCTAAGCATGTTAAACGGCTGATATTTCATGGCACCTAATTAACGGTCGGTTTACGTTTTTAAAGCTTAGATACCCCTGCACGGGGTATACCTATTTACAGAGCAGTTCGCAACGGTTCAGACGATAGTAACCCTGCAGGAAACGGAATCAGTTTTGGACTATTAAAATACAATTTGGGTCAAGAAGGTTAACTAGTTCAAGTTATGTCCATTTCCTTGTAACGAAGTGGTCCATTTTTCATATGCTTGTCGTCGGAGACAACTAGTCCATTTGCTACAAGTTTTGCACTAGTGACTGTTAACCAATTTATGGTTACAGCTGTTAAACTACACTAAAAAAAAATATTTTCACGAAAAAACTTAAAAAATTAATCTCTAAACCATCAAGTGATTGGATTTCACTAGTACTTGACGATGCCTAACTTGACGCTCTCCTAATTTAGTATCCAATTAATAGGCGCGGTCCTTAGAGAATTTCTGATAATTATTATGTAATCAAATACAGTAAATGATAATTAAATGGAATTAAAACAAACTTACTTTTTTTGAGGCAAGTCACTGATTGAGCCATACACGCAACACATTTTGTTCGAACCAGGGTTCAAAAAAATAAATTTTTTTTAATGAAATAATAAAGTCAACATTTATTTCCATGTATTTTCATTGAAATATGTACCATAACATTAAGACTTATACGTAAAGTTACTAGATTTATGATTTATAAAGTGTTTACCAGTTAAGGCAAAGAGTATACTCTTTGCTTTAATCATGTAATTTTAATGTGGGCATACTGCGAAAAGTTTTGGAAGATGATAGTTATATATTATTAGATTGTTTGAGTTAGATGCAGTCATTGCATAGCCACAAAAATTGGCGCATTTTTATTTCCTTTAGTAAATAAACTCTATGTTAATATGACCAGAAAACCCCCCCACACTGTTGAATAAAAAAACACGAACACACAAAATAAATTTTTGAACCGAACCGAATATCAAAAAAAAAAAGTTCCGGTTCGGTTCCGGTTCAATTATAAAAAAATTCAGCGCTCCGGTTTACGGTTCGGTTCGTTTTCTAAAAAAAGTGAACCACTCCGGTTCAAATTAAAGTATTTGAATGATTTTAGTAAATGTAGCAAGAAATGTTATCTGCCTTTTTCTTTTGCCCAACAACCTAAAAGAAAGTTAAGAAATTAGGGAAGTAAATAAGAGCTAGAAACGCGTTAAAAAAAAACGACCGGCAAAACGTGCTGCACGAATCGAAATCAGGACTAATTCAATGCCGCTGTTTGAACTTCTCGTTTTCCCCATTTTCTGACCGAGTTCCTGTCACTGTCTTCATACGTGCCTGTTCAACTCCGCACAATCAATGTAGGATGAGTCATGCAGAGATTAGTTGCCAGGAGATGGAATAAAGCCTCTCGTATTGGACATCTTGAGCTGCAATAGGATGTTGTTGCCGCTGTTAATTGGCTTTGTTTACGAACTAACCCCGAGCACCCTTGATATTCACATTCCCCATACAAAAACGTCTTACAAATGCTAGCTAAATCCAACAGCCTTTCCAGGCACACCTGGCGTATGCTTGTTATTTTCCCATAATCATGGTCGAGCATTGGTCAAGTGAGCTTGTATTTACAACTAATTGAGGTCGAAGACTTACATTTGAATAAGATAAGTTCCATTCAATGGGCAGATATCCATGGATAGATTCCAGTCGAAGTGCTTTCGACATAAGGATTAATTGGCCAAGTGCGAGGACAGCAATAGCAGGCCAAATGAAGTTAAGGATGCGATAATGAATTGACAAGGTTATTGGAAGCATTAATAGACTAGATTAGAATGGATGATTTTAGATGTATATAGACATAAATTGGCCAATATTTAATAGGTTTGCTGATGCTTTGATTAGTGTTGTTTCTTATGGGTAATGTTGTAAATTATTATTTTTATAGCTAATGGTAATTGATTTCTAGTTAGAAATTTCACAATGCTAATGTTAATCATTAAACATCGATCTACATGCAAAAACGTATTCTAAACATTCGATTTCTAGCGATCCTTGAAGGTTTTGAAGGAATATGATTAAATGGCATAAAATCCTATTTAATTTTTAAGAATAATCTGTCCCTACATATGTGGTATCTTTGACAAACCATTTGGTCGGGCTATGGCTTACAGAACTCCATATTTATTTTCAAATTAACAAACGGATACCCTGTAGCTTAAGAAAAATGAAAATGGCCTTGGATTATGTGTTGTATAAATCCTTGGGATATGTATAAATTCCTTTCATAGAAAATGCTCAAACAAATAAGTTGAATCATTTCGTATACACCACATCCCCCATGTCTTGACTTTTTCAATGACCCAGCAAGAAGCAATTCCATCCCTCAATTCACTACGCTCCTTCGGTTGCTTTTTTTGTTCAGTAGGCCAACTGGCGCCCCTTGAAAGTCAATTTCAATCAGCAAACAAAGGAAATTTCTAGGCCAGAACATAAACACAAACAGAAAAGTGGTCAATGAGCCCAAAACAGGAAGAGCACCGGATGGATGGCCTAGCCAAAGTGGCTGATGCAGAGAATATGGAGGAGCCCGGCGCTGCCGAAACTTTGCTAACGATTTATGCACAGGCTAAACATTTTAAACACATGCATAAATCAGAGACACACACAGACCGACGAAGCGGGGTGAAATATTCGGCAAACAGTTCCTTAAAGCCAAAGTTTTGAAATGACCCCAGGAATGGATCACGTTGGGAAGGCTTTTCTGTCCCGAAGATGTGTGACAGTTTGTGGCAAATTGAAAGTACACGGGGTGGTTGGGTGAATGGGAAAAGGAAGAAGACACCGACTTAGACACACCATTAAGCTCATAATTGCCACATGAAGATATGCCCGAATCTATAGGCAGCCTGGGCACCCAGAATATGTGCCATCTGCCACGAGTTTATTGTGCTTTATTTGCTTTCGCTTGGATCACATAAAATTTAATTAAATTGTTTTATTGCATTCAAGCCAAATGGAATTCCTTGAGCCTACTGCCATCAACTTCAGCATTTCGTGGACCAGCGAGCAGCACAAAAGAAGCGAAAAGAAAGAAATCCCTGTTCGCATAATTAAAAGAAGCCGCAACTGAGGCTCCAACATTTGTGTGGCTAATCTTTTATGAGATTCCTCAGCCACGAATGCGGATACTTTTGGTCCGCATTCATGAAATGAATCAAGATTTGTTAGAAATGAAACACGAATTTGTATGCTGTTCCAATGACCTAAAAGCTTCCTTAAATCACAAAGAAAAACCTTTAATATAATTGGTTCTGTTTAAAGAATATAATTTCCGGGAATCAATTATGTTACCACAGTTAATATTTTTCATTTGAAGAGTAATATTAAATTCCGACCCGCAGGTTGACAGTTGACAAGCTTTTAATAGGCAGTTGACCTTTAATGGCAATGTTATAAGCGTTTTAGGCAGTTATTTACGCAATTGGGGAAATCTATGAGGACTAGACAGCAAAATTTGTTGGGGGAGGTCAGTGAAAATCAATAAAAGCAAGGTGCTGGCTGTGATGGCTAAGAAGTGGAGGAAGAACAATACCACTGAAATTGAATTATTAAGTAAGACTACGTTTCAAGCTAAATCTCCGTTGCGCTTTGCACGGAAAGTTGTGACCTTAAAGCTACAGAAAAGTAGAAACTCGTGGCCCACATTTAGGCGCTACGCTCTTACAAACGGCAAATGGCACACAAAGAGGGCCAAAAATGAAAGGAACTCATTGGCATATCTACATATTTCTGGTTCAATGCATTGCCAGAACGCACACACAGATACAGCAGAGCGGCAAACCCGAAACACAGAGCAGCAAACAAGCAGGCAAACATCTCTGGCGATTATGCAGTGAAAAAGAGCGGCACCGGGAAAAGTCGGAAATGGACTGGTGGAAGGAAGGGGAAAGCGTGGAAATCCTCCGCAGGGCAGGCAAACCCGAAAGTATTCGAAAGATGCCAATTCATTTGTGCCATAAACAACTACAAACACAATCGGATGGCAGCAACAATAAAGCTGGGACAAGATACTGGATATATCCGCACGGGGATATAGAATGCATATGCATGTGCACACTGTATATTGGCCAACTATCGATCCGAGCCATAGTAATTTGCAACTTTTCATTTTCCATTTTTTTGCGCTCAAAGATAAATTATTATTTGTTGGGGGTTGACAGTCGAAGTGAAATGTGAAATAATTTGTGGATTTTCCATTCGGGTCAAATTAAGAAAATTGTTTCCTGGTTTTGCATAAATTCTCCTTTGGTAACCATTCAACTGTTAATATTGAAAGGAGACAAATAAAGAAATCTCTCGAAATGTGAAGTGTGTTTTTCAAAAAGCTTTTGTTACTTAAAGGGATGACCTTCTTTTGGGTTTTTCATACCGACAAATTAAGGCCGTTTCAAACCTATTTCTTTTTTCTTTGATTTCTTCTTCAATGAAGTTACAGTTGTACTTTCGTGTAGTGATAGTTCCAGCTTATTTAATTTAAAAAGTACTCTTAATTTAGCGGAGTGTATAAGTTACGGTTTCTGAAGAGCGACAGCTATTTGGGTTTTTGGTTTCCAATTGCTTTCATGTGGGACTGGTATGCAAATTTTCCTGGCCCACCAGCACAGACAGCTGTAAGTGTGTGGTTAAGGTGAAAAGAGACTTTGAAGCCGTGTCCTCTGTCTGTCAACCAACAATCCACATGTGAATCACACACTTAAATGTGTTGGCCATGTTATGACAGGCTGCCAATGTTTATGAAGAAAAACTGTCCCCAGCCCGCTGCTGCCCAAATTGGTTCCGTGCCGGCTTCTCCGCTTGCAGCCAAGAGCGCACTTGGCTTTATGATTTGGCCAGGACCTACGACACAGTTTGTCATTTACTTTTTGTCACTGT